TTTTAATTAGGAATAAACAACCCTACAGGCAAATTAGTCCAATTCATTCAAACTAATTTGTAGAGTTATAAAAATCTGACAATCAGATTGGAATGCTCTGTCACTGAAAAAAATAACACAGTGATATGAAAAAAAGGTATTTAAGTAGTAAAAGCAATTATCACTTTTACAGTGAATTATTATAGGCTGTGTTTATGTTGTTACCATTTGTGTTAGTTTAAAAATTCTCTAATGACAGAAAGGACTTAAAGGGGTTCTAAACCCTCCAGTTGTTTTGCCTATATCTACTGCTATCAAGCAGTAGATATAGGAAAACAGTTTAAAAAAACAACGCTAAAACAGCGGTTTAAACGTACCTTTTTTTCTTTGCGCGCTCCCGCCTGAGAAAACAAAATTGTTCGGGCAGCCGCAAAGCATTTTGGGGCAGGCGCATGCGCAGTTGGGATTCTCAGCCGGGAAACGAGCAGAGACGCAAGGTAAGTGTATGGACGCGTGCACCTGCATGCAGACACCGCTGGATGGGAGAGACAGAGCAGTCAGCGCTGGATCGGAGAGTCGCCGCACCGCTGGAGGGACAGATGAAAACATCAGGAAAGAAGAAGATCGGAATAAGAGACATCATTTAAGTTAAGTGCTAACATTAACATGGAGGGGAGGGGGAAAAAGATTGACTTTAATGTCACTTTAAGTTTTGGATTTCTACAATAATCAAAGTTATTGATTTATTTGACAATATAAAGAACTAAAATGGGTAGATATTTAATTATGCATTTTATTATACAGATCTATCACAAATCATGGACTGTTCTATAGAAAAATAATATAATATTAGCTAAGGTAAGGATCTGAAAGTAATTAAGTATTCTCTTTATTTGTGGCTGCTAATTGTGTTTGCTTTGATCACCCTTGTGCACCGGAACAGCTTTCCCAGGTATGTGGAGAGATGTGGCCTCTTGGTAACCCTTGTTTTGTGAGACAACCTAATTAGGCTTGACGATACAGATGAACCTTTTAAGGCCTGTAAATTGAGCCTCTATGCATTATCGCAAGTAGATGCCCATTAATATAACACATATAACAAAAAAAAGAAAAGAAACAAGAGAAAGGATCTTGTTTATTTTATGTGTTTGAAAGCAGGTTTTCTAACCTGAGGAGAAAAAGATCAGCAATGTAATGCAGTGTATTCAAATAGCCTGAAGTCAAAACAAAAAGTGACAATCAATACTGTGTTCGGACAACTGAATTGTTTGTTTGTTGTGCATAATAAGGGAAAAGAAAGTCAAAAATAGTAGTCATTAAATGAATGTAATAGCAAACATTATAATGCTGGGAAAGGAAAGGTTTTCATGATAAGAATATTGCAGTGTTTTGTTTTCCCTAAAGATCCTGCAGGGGTTTTCTACTATTATCAGAAAACTAGGAAACAACTCTATGTAGTGGCTTTTTCCCAGCAATGGGAGTCTAATAGAACACCCCCCACATCTTGTCATTAAGTGAAAGGTAGAATCACTGCAAGCAGTGGAAATCAGATCCTTGGACCATTGCCAATCACACAACAAAGTATTTTTGTGGCAGCTATAACGTTGGGGGCCAATTCACACTTGAGCAGTTCAATGCTTTATGTAGAGCATGTTACACCATGCATAAATGTGTTTTAAGGAAGCCTATTCATTATGGATGGGCTGCCAATAGATGAAAAAACGTGCACTGTATATGCATTGCCGTGCACTGTGGTGTGTTGCGCTCTACTGTACAATGCGCCGGAGTGCCATTCAGAAGGAAGGAGGGGCGGATCCAGAGTCTAGTCTCGGGGGGGGGGGGCACTGCCAGAAAATAAGCCCCCCCATCTGGCTCTTCCACTGCTACTGTGCCACCCCTTTCCTCTCTCACTGTCACCAGTCAGCATGACCGGACTATCGGCCTTGCAATTTATGTTAACATTTTTTGGGGACAGATAGAGCTTTCTTTTGGAGGTATATAATCACCACGGGGGAAGGGGTGTTATTTTTTTACGCCACTGGAAGGAATGGCACTGTAACGTACCACACATGCATTGTGGCAACACCCATTAGCAGCACACAAGTGTGAATAGGCTCTTAATGTTGGGGTGGTGCCGCACAACTTGGACTTGGCACCCATTAAAATCAAAGGTTCCATTAGACTGAAAATATGCTCTGTCAAAAAAAAAGGCAGGCAACTCTGTGTTTGATGGCCACCTCAGAGCTGAAACAGCTTACTGATTCGAGCTGGACAACCTATTGCTCAAAGAAAAGGATTTTTCACCTATGAACTATAAAAACTGGTGTTCACATTAGATAGACATATAGGTCATATATGTAAAGCAGCAGAAAATAAATGAAAGCTGAAGTGACACTAACCTTAGGAGTTAAATCTTAAAAATGCTCCATACTCACTCCCATGATGGTCCCTTGGTCCCTGTGTGTGTTGAAAAGTAGCCACCACTCCAAGCGCACTCCCATGATGAACTACAATCTCAATATGAATTATTAAACTATACGGTTAGATTGTAGTCCATCACAGGAGTGAGCTTGGAGGGGTGGCTACTTTACAACACACACCTGGGCCATGCAGTGGCGGAGCTAAGGAACAAAGGGCCCTGGTGCAAGATTTTTTTTTGGAGGTGGTAGTTCCGCCACTGGGGCCATGGAGAACAAAAGATACATTTTTGTTAACAGTTAGGATACTTGAATGCATTTGTATGATTTAACTCCTGAGTTTAGCATCACTTTAAAGGAAACTCCAAACAGCCAAACATTTTTGTTATAGTTTTGGATAAAACAGGTATGGGTTAGATCCTTTGTCAGATTTTACATGCTGCCTCTGTCCTACTGAGATTCTTCTGTCAGGATTTAATTACTGTCTGCATCCCTGTAGAGGAGATTTCCATTAATTTCCTGTTTCTGCTCTGACACCTGCCAACTGGAAAGGAAGTGAAAGTAATGTCCCTGTTGGAGATGCAGAAAGCGATATAATAATCCTTTGTCAATCCAAAATCCGCACTGCATGTTTACTACCAAACTCAAATCAATTGGTTGCACAGCATCTAGTCATACCAGTGAAATGCTCACGTTCAAATATCCAGGAATCATAATGGAGAGCAGTAGATGTCCCTGACCACACTATGTACATACAGTGTATGTGCTGTTGATGTGGATGTCACTAACCAACACATACCATGGTTGCATAGCACAAAGTTGGGCATCCACCACTCGTCATTCGCACACAAGAGTAAGTTTATTTGACTACCTGATAAATTTTTTTTTACTATGCAGAGTGTGGTGCTGTACGCATTAAAGGAGAACTATGGGCTTAAGGCTTTTCCCCATAGGGAATCCAGCCCCCCTCCTGTCACGGCAGAGTAGATCGGGAGGTGAGCGAACACATACCGGCGTTCGCTCACCTCCCGATCTACTGAGCCGACCTGTGACAGTCTCATTGTCACAGGTCGGCTAGAACTATTAGGTGAGTGAAAAGCACTCACCTCATAGTTCTCCTTTAAAGTGTAACCAGCAGGGCCGTCTCATGTGGCCTCTCTTGTACATGATTGGACGATGGAAATCAATAGAGCTTCACCTCATTCACAAAGCTGAGGTAAAATTACTTTTAAAAGTGAAACTTCCCATGCAAAGTGAACAACATATTTGCCTTTAGTAAATCAACCCCTAAGTGTCAACCATTGGGCTGTGTATACAGCGATCTTCTCTTCTCATAAACACTCATAACTTCCTTTCCCTGTAAAGCTTATTGTGTATTTGTGTGGCCATAGGCAGGCAATTATTTTTCTAGAACAACAAGTGGGAGAGATTTCCATCCATTTAATGCCAACCAGACCAGCTGCACCACTGCTTTGTTTAGGTGTTAGGAGTAAGATAAAGTAAGCCCTTTGTAAGCTCCAAGTTTTGACTTGGAGCTTACAAAGGGCTGATGACTCTCTAGGCTCTCACGGAGTGCTGGGAGCCTAAGAAACCAATCACCAGGTTCCAATGCTGTTACATGGGAAAGAGGGGAGTCACATGATCTCCTATACCCAGAAGTATTGGGTTAATTTTTTTTTCTCCCATTACCTGCTCGGCGTGGCTTACAGGTTTGCCTTAACCTCCCTGGCGGCATGATTATTCAGGATTTTAGCATCCCAAAGCGGTACATTGTTTTTCATGGAAATATGTTGTTTTATATTGACTTAGAATCACTTGCAGAATTGAGAGATAGCAATTAGTTGGGAAATTCGTCATAAGACACTGAAAGTGACTTTCAGTGTCTGATGACGAATTTCCCAACGAATCGCTATCGCTCCATTTTGCAAATGATTGTAATTTACTATCGGTGTTTTCTAGCTGGTCTAAAACCGCTTTTGACCTAAAGGGACGCTTTTTGGATGCCATGGACGTTCACAAGTTTCCAGGCAGAAAGAACAGTAAAAGTGTCAGGCAGGGCACTGGACAAACCTCTAGGGACAAAATTGAAGTGAAATAGTTTGATACATAAATGTAATCATAGCAGATTAGATTGTATTGTGTGTATTCTGTGTAAATGTCATGTTTTTACTTTTGAATTTCCCGCCAACTACGCCCCCCCCCCACCCCGCTGTGATGCCTGAAAACGAAAATAAAACTCAGATGCCGGCATCGGCCGGCCGCGTTCAGCAGAGGACACCGCGGGCTCGCAGGGACAAGGTAAACAACACTTTTCTGTGCAATCCCGAGTCTAGCTTGGGGTTACCGCTCTTGGTACTGAAAATTAACCCTGAGCCAGACTCGGGAATACCACCAGGGAGGTTAAAATTACAATCAATCCTAAACAAACTAAAGATCCACAGAGTCAGTCTACTGCATGATTCAAACAATTCCAAAGTAATCATGTAATAATATGACCTTGTAGAGAAGAAAATAAGCCCCACATTCCTGGGTATTGGATGGATTTGGAAATTCTGAACCTTTTTCCTTTCATTTCCAGAGAGATAAGCCAGTGCCACCAGTAATGCCGATAAAGAAGTCACCTGTGGAAAAAAATGCCAGGTGAAAAAACTTTGCGTTCGGTCTAGTTGTCCAAGATTGCCCTCATGCAGGCATCTTTCGATAATCCTTAACCCTGTAGCACAAATTAGGAAAGATTCAACAAGTCCAGCTGAATATGACTGACTACAACTAGCTATACCATGACCAAGATAAATGACAACATTCACAGACATTGTAAATAAACTTTTTTTTTTAATTATTCACAAAAGGGTGAAGAGTTGGGAGAAGGCAGGAGAAGTGAACAATTTAGGACAACATAGCTGAACTGGAAAGTAAGCTGAATTGGAGAATTTGTCCAAATCATCAATTTTGGCCTAGATTGTTCACTTCTCCTGCCTTCTCCAAACTCTTCACCCTTTTGTGAATAACCTTGTAAGTTTTGTAGTCAGCAGTTTGGGGTCAGGTTCACTATCCCAATAAAATGTTTCAAAGGAAAGAGAGAGGAGAGAAAGAGAAAAAGGATATAAAATAGTAAAGTACTAACAGATTGAAAACCAAAAAATCTAAAAACTAAAAAAAACTACTATGATGGGGACAAGTATAAGGGCTTGTATAAACAAATGTTGTTGCCAAATGATGCCTTTTGAATTTGAGCTTAGATCTGTTTAAATGCCTGCCTTACAAACTCAACTCAATAGGACCTGCTTTGTCCAAAGAAAGACTCAAAGGAGGTCATAAACAGCCTCAGAACTTTTATCCACACTGCACTATTGAAGTTGATGGGAATCCTTAAACACGTGTCAAATGCAGGAAAACAGTACCTGTATGCATGAAAGGTCCTATGACAAGTTATACATATCTCACAATACTATCGATGCGACTATAAACTTTTATACCAGTCAAAAAAGCATATGTTATTATTATTATACAGGAATTATATAGCGCCAACAGCTTGTGCAGAGCTTAACAATATAAGGAAAACATTACAATTACAATGCAATTCAAGACAAGATGGTACGGAGGGCCCTGCCCGTAAGCGTTCACAATCTGCTGGGATTGTTGAAACCACTTTTACATCTGGGCCAAAATCGCCATAATATGACACCAGGGGGCATGTTTATAAAGCAGCAAATGTGGCATTCATCAAACATTCACTACAGGTAAATCAATCAAATTTAATTTAATACTCACATTTAATATTAAACCATGTGCACTAGGAATGTCTGGCGAATGTCATATTCACTGCTTTAGAAACATTTCAGTTTAAAGGAGAACTATGGGGTCAGTGTTTTTCCCCATAGTTCTCCTTAGGGTAACGGGAGGACACAAACTAGCGTCCTCCCGTTACCCTAAGCTCAGTATACCGCTAGCTACAGCTCGCGGTATACTGAGACGCCGCAGCCGGAGCGGATCCCGACATGGACGTCGAGATCCGCCCAGCTGCATGAGTGACAGCTGGCTCTGCCTATCTAGAGGCAGAGCCAGCTGTACCCGCCCCCTCCCCCGTCCGTTCCGCCAGTCAGTGCTGGCAGATCGGAGTGGGGAGAGGGGAATCCAGCCCCTTCCCCTGTCACGGCAGAGAGCCGTGACAGGATCGAGAGATGAGCGAACCCGGTATGTGTTCGCTCACCTCCCGATCTACTGAGCCGACCTGTGACAGTCTCATTGTCACAGTTCGGCTAGAACTATGAGGTGAGTGGAAATCACTCATCTCATAGTTCTCCTTTAAAGTTTGTTTTGTGTTCCTGCCAGTACTACTATTCAGATTGTTATGGTTGCATATACTGTGCAGAAAAACATACTGTACATTGTAATAATGTATATATTTTTCTGCTAGTTGATATAATAGTTTGAAAATATCAGCCCTATTATGTATCCAGCATTTAAACAGCTAAATTTACTGTTCAAAACTCATTTTATTTTTTCTTATCATTTACTTTTAATCATAGTGTTTTTTTGACATGCTTTGTTTGGTGTGTCAATGAATAACTATTCACAATCTTATCCTGTTTGCTCTCTAATTTCTTAACTAGGATATACTGCATATGTCTTCCTATCCAAATCATGAAGTTTATGGCATGCCCTAAAATTATTTTTTTCATGATAAAGTGATGTCCTTGCACATTATACTTTAGCAAAAGTAAATAAAATGTGTGCCTTTAAAAAAAAAAAAACACGTTAAATGCTCATTTTTAGGCAATTAACTGGAGGTCACTTTTGGTTTAGATCAATGAGTAACTATAAGAAGTACAAGTGTGAATATGAGTTGGAGTTTTATCTAAGTAAAAAGTACAAAGTTGCTCTGATGTATTGTCCTTTTCGTCCTATCTCCTTCTGTGGTTATATATAATATTTAGCAATAGCTCTTTTTTAATGAACACATCTTATTTAATTTTTTTTTTTTTTTATAAATTCTTTATTTATAGTTTTATGCAAGTTATAGAATCCTTTCCCTCTTTGGGTATAACAGTAATGGCTGCTTATTTAATTTTTTAGCGAGTATGCCCACTGCTGCCGCTATAGGGTCTATTCACAAAGCTGCCGAAGGATCTAGCCGCAGCTTCGGCCGATCCTTCGGCTTGCTTCGGCCCCAGGACCCCTTCGGTTCAGTAGAACCGAAGGGGTGCTGTACGGGCTATTCACTATAGCCGAAGCTGGCCAAGCGGCCGGCCAAACAGCAGTGTTTCTCTCCAGAGCGCCCGGGAGAGTTTTTCTTTTTCGTTTTTTTTTTAAGGCAGCAGAGACAATAGGAAACTGTCACTGCTAGCTCCGCACAATCGTTTTCTATTTACTTTTTTTTAACTCTTTTTCTGTTCTGCTCGGTCCCTCTGAGGGACTGAGCAGAACAGCTGAGCCAAATGCCGCTCAGCGGCATTCGGCTATTCACTCACTGCTGTTCGGCATCTATAAGAATAGACCGAACAGCAGTGAGTAGCCTGCCGGAGGTTCAGCTCAGCCGATCCAGATGTTGGGTCTGAGAATGCCTGAGCATGTTCGGCCGACCCGAAGCCATGTGAAGCAAGCCGATGTACGGCTGAAATCAGCTGTACCAGCCTGAAGTGAATAGCCGAACAGTGTTCGGCTCACTTCACTTCAGGTCGGTCATTCACTTCACTTCAGGTCGTGCCTGGGCCCATAACCTGTTGGTTATGTGTTTAGATGAAGCACTGAGATTTGGAGGAATGTTGTATTAAGTTTTACTTGCTTAGAAGAATGTTACATCAGAATACAGCATTATATAGCATTCAGAGAGATCTTCCTGTATATATCATAGATAAGCATGAACATACAGACTAGCATTGCACTACAGCGCCATCTATAGCTCAAAAGACATAATATATGCTGTTGTATTTCCAAAAATTATAAAGTAAAGAATTCAGTGGGGCCACATTATAATTACCACAGGAGGTAAGCCAACTGTCAGGACCAGCTGTGGATGCACACCGTCAGAGCAAATAGTGACGAGCTGTTTCACCTATAGCAGCTGCCGTTCCCATAAGGCAAGCATGCCTACTGGTACTTGGATGCCCCCAGGACCTAAACTATATGCTCTGATCAGGTGATGCCACAGGTGCTGAACTGAGGTACGGACAGAAGGAGAAAGACACTACCAGAGAGTAACCAGGGACGAGCTGAGGTCAAAAGCTGGCGGCTGTCAAGGGTAATCGGGGCACAGGCTAAGGTCAGGGCGGGCAGGCAGCTGGCAAAGGGTAATCTGGGCACAAGCTGAGGTCAGGACTGGCAGAAGGCAAGGCGTCATCCAGGGACAGGCCAAGTTCAGAACCAAAGACAAACAAGATTTCCAGAGACAGGATTTGCAGAGCCCAACCACAGCTTGTATAGCAAGAGCTATCGCAAGCACTGGGGAACAGGCTGATGATGCTTAAATAGGGTGCCACCAGTAACAAGGCCAATCTAAAGGTGCCCATACACCTTACAACCATCGCAAGACCTTTGTCTTGCGATGGTTGTAAGCTAAATAAAAGCTCGTACGATCTGCCCATCTTGGACAGGCAGATCGTACTTGCGATCGAAAGCCCGCTCCGCTGAGGGGCGGGCTTCCGATGAGCGCAATGCTGGACGGGCAGTGTGCGCGTGCACACTGCCCGCAGTTGCCGAACGAGCACGCCACTAACCCGACGACAATCGTACGATTCTCGGCGGGTTTTCTAGCATGCTCCTTCGACAAAAGACGTGCGACGTACAGTAGAAACGGTCGCACGCCTTCCATACACCTTGCGATTATCGTACGATAATCACAAGGTGTATGGGCACCTCTAGAGCTGGAGGTGTGTGGCTAGATTAATTTAGCCACAGCTGACTAGATAAGTGCTACAGCCAGCAAAACACAGGATAACCCACACCAATCAGAGCTGCAGCCAGCAATATAGGCTGCCTGAACTACACAGGCTGAATGCCACCAACACAAGGGCTGCAGTGAAAAAGAGAACCCAAGAAATTGCTATGTGACTTTATTCCCAGTATTTAAAAAAACAGAAATATCAGCTTTTGGTGAACTGACCCTTTATTTTTTTTAAATAATATGGTTACTGCAAAGGATAAGGAGGGTTGGTTATTTCTAATTACTTTTTTTTATTATCTTCTAGCGCTGAACACAAAATTGTAGCACCCTACCCCCCTACATGTTGACAGCAGGCCAATATTTACAATGGGAGATGTGGAAGAATGCTGTAGTGAAGGAGAGGTTGTCTTCCCTGCTGTTGCGATGGGGACCAGGAAGCAGCCTGGCCCCAGCAATGAATAAGTGTGTCTTAGGTGTGTTTGTAACTCATGCTAAAGAAGAACTCTGGGGACAAATGCTACCCCCGCACTGCACGGCATAAGTGCTCACCTTCTTCCTGCTGACTAAACCTGAAAAACCATACAGTGTCTACCAATTGAACATTTTGCTTGCAGGCATTCCAAGGGTGCTTTGGTGCCATCTATGTTAGAACCTAGTTATGACCCTATTGAGCCCTGACCTTTTAAAAGAACCTGATGGCTTCATACAGCAATAAAAACCTGGCAGAGGCTTT